AATCCACCAATATTACCATTATCAATAAACTCTAGCCAAAAAAAAAACACTTGACAAAAATGTCACCATTTATTATATTAAAGCCTATCACTACATTACTACTGATTGTAAAACCCACACAAATATAATCATTGAATCATCGATACCGCACAATGTCAATACTAGACGCCGATACCTTATCACTTTGTTATCAGCTCTTATCACGACTGATCTAATTTACTCGTGTTCAAGAAACACGCTTTGGAGTATCAAAGTCATCTTGCTTTTACTAGAAAAAGAGAATGGACATAGCCACTGACAACGTTTTTCATTGGACCCTGTTTTTAAGTACCTGAATTTTAGGAGTTAAAAATGAATTGCTGAATTGTTTATGACTCTGTCCTGCAGCTGTAGCAAATGCCATTTAGCGCTTGTCTACATGTGGAATAGAAAACCAAATTATATGAGATTGACGTAAATTTTGACATTTGTCAGTGTCGTCCCCATACATTTTGATTTCTACTCTCTCTGTAGACAAGTGCTAAAGTGGCGTTTGGCTAAAGGCCCTAAACTTGGGTATGATCTAAAACTTCAAGCGGCCACCGAATGACTGGCTGGCTGGTTGAACAGATCCTGTATCGATAATTTAATTCAACTGCGATCCACATGCGTGGAGATCTTAACTCTGAATAAAGGTTTGTTAATGTTTTCCGAAATAAATGTGAGGAATTTCTGATTCCCTGATTAATGTACAAAAATAATCACTTATGAACTCTATCCCATAGGAGGACAAAAATTCTCCATCTTTTACGTTTTAAAGATCATCATCGACATTCGTTGCCGGATAAATCCTCCCTCTTAGACCTCCACGTTATTTTTTTCTTTTACGAGGGGATAATCATCGAATGACTTCTCCCGCACTTCGAACCGGAGCCCCAGCAACCCGTTAAGTATTCCGCGGCTCCGTATCGGCGTCAGCCCTATTGGGCCCCATCCGTGGTGGTCTGATGGCTCTTTGAGGCGCGCGCGCGACCTCCATGTTGACCGACAGCTCGCGACCAGTATCAATACGATCTACACTAACTTTTCTAACACTTATTATAAACGAACACAGATTGTCTCGTGAATCTCCTACACCCCCTACCTACGTATACAATGGTCGGACATGCAAGTGACGCAGTGTCCGGTGTTGCCACGCTGCCGTCACTAACTTTGCTCCCAGTGACACGTCCGTACCGGATACACGCGTCGTATCCGGATATCACGTCATACAACATGTTCCTGATATAAAAATAGATATTCTAATATTTAATTTTAAAAATATTTTGCGTCGTTGTGTGATTGTGTTGCGTCTGTGTAATGTAATTAGCATATGTAGGGTTTGAAATCCTTATAAAACAATAATTAATCTTTTCTATCGTAGTATACCTATAACGTATATTATGCCTTCTGTAGGTTACGTAGGTATTTCTAAATTGTCATTCACAGATAACAATTAGAACTAGTTTCCATCGCAATATATACACGCAAATTACTATACAAATAAAGCCCTATGTAACGAACAGTTCAGATAAACGCGCGAACCGAAATCCCTTCACAGATAACTAATAGAAAAAAAACATTGGATTCGAAAATCGCACGTGTCCCATTTGCCCCACGTTCGAAGTAAAGTCCTTTAATGAACGAGTTTTGACGACCATTCCAAATACAAAAACAAGTGAACACCGCTCTATAGCTCTATGGCTTTCGCGCCACACTTTTAAATTCAGAATTCCACCAAAATTACATATACCGAATTCTACCGGTACCGAATCTTTTTTTTTTAATTCTTTTAAGATCCGTGCCCCACCTTTTCTCCCGTGTCGTTGATTCTCGAATATTCCAACACTGCCACTTTTCAAGTTTCATATCGAGTTTGTATAAAACCGAACTTGTTTGGTCCCGAAGGCTTTTTCTCGCTCTTATTTAGACGAAAACAAAGGGTTCCATTGTTCTGTCGTCCGGTATCGTCTCTTTCATCCAACACCAAAGGAAATTTCATCGATAATGCCAGTTGAGTGGTACATGTAACATTGGAAGGGAATGAAAAATTTTTGGAACAAAAGAGTAATAGAATATACTCTCGTCTTTTTTGAAGTCGGTCAAATATGTAAGGTGCTTCATAAGGGTCTTCTAAGAGGTTACACACGCCTTTACAGGTGGTCCTGAGGGAAGAGTATCCGTTTGAAGTTATATTGAAAAATGTAATAATACACGTGTTCCCATTATAATTACTTCTTGCGTGAATGAGTAAAGTTCTGATTAAAAATCGCTCGATGTGACATGTTTTCTGCTTCAGAGGATTTTTATATCGCTACAGAGAATTTTAGAGAGAAACCAGTGAATAAATACCATATTTAATTTATTAAAAAGATTCATGATGACTGCCTCGTTGGTCGAGTGGTCGCAAATGCGACTGCCGGGCAAGGGGTCTCGGGTTCGATTTCAAGTAAAGTATTACTGGGTTTTTAAAAATCTCAGTAGTAGCACGGGGTCTGGAAATGTGCCCAGTATATGGCAACAGGCTCACCCTCTATTACATAGGACTCATAACATAAATAGTGAATAGTGGGTGTTACATTGTACAGTGGCATTAAGTGCCGTAATGTACACCTCTGCCTACACCTTCGGGGATAAAGAGGCGTGATGTTATGTTAAGAAGATTCATTTAAGAAAGTAGGTCCACATATAAAGGCACTCAGTAATAAAATAGTAGACGATTACGTCACAATAATCTCAGCATTACATTACACATTATACTTTTATCCCACAATATGAGTAGCGCTACATTTGGGAGCCTGAAACGGAGTTACTACCCACTACCTTTGTTTTTATTTTTATTGAATCATCTATAACGTTAAAAAATATTATTCCTTTTACATTTCATTTAAAATTATCGCCTCATTTTAAACGTAACTAAATTGCCTTTAATTTTACGTACGTTACCATACATAACTTCACGCCTGTGGAACTTCAGACTATGGAACGCCAATTACTACGATTCCTACATACCTCTTTCGCTTCATCAACAGCCATCAATCTTTTCATGCATGATCTTCGGTTTTGGGAGGTTGTGGCGGGCTTGTCCCCTTCATATGCTCAGCGGTTATGAGTACTTTTATTTTGGCCCTTCTTTAATTAATACGTTACCAATTAATTAAAATACGTTTATCAGAGAATTTTTTTTAAAAAAAAACGTTACCCCACACTAGGATTTTCTCCTGTGTCGTGGGTGCGTTTACAAACATACAAATTCACATACACATGACACCTAGACCCGGAACAACAATTTGTGGATTACACAAAGTGTTGTTCCGTGCGGGAATCGAACCTTTTATTATTTATCGACGATCTATATACGAATTTATCAAAAATTGAAAAAGAAAAAACCAGCATTTTTTCTTTTTCGGGTACAGTTTCTTTGCTCCGAAATGTGGAAAAACAGCTCGTAATATCTACAGCGTTAATATTCTACGTTATTGCGGCTAGCATAATATGGACACTCTCATGTGTACGATAAAATGTAACAACTATACACGAGTCACTTTATGTTGTAATAAATCTGGACGTCCATCTTCCCTCAGACTATTGCCTAAGCTTAAGAAATGACCTAAGTTATTTATGTCTGGCTAAATTAACTTACAAACGTTAGCTGGCTAGATTCTTACTTAATTCTGCTAACCATCTTTGTTTATTGTCTGGGTAGATTGGTTGCATATTTGAGAATAAAATGGTGTTAAGCTTACGGATTTCGCCATGGTCTAAATTTCAATAAAAATACACACAATAGGGTTGTTTCCTAAATTTTATTTTAATGTCCGTCTAGTAGATTAATTTAAAACTTTAGACACGTATTTTTCTTTTCTCACAAAATTAAATACTTTCGACGATATATTAATTTGAAATATCGTGTGACGTCACAGCGTGCCACATTTGGTGGCACGTTATGACGTAACGACCTACCACTCCTAAACTTAGCGCCATTTTATCTAAGTATTGCAACTTAATACGAGAAAAGAATAAAATACGTGTCTAATATTTTTCATTATCTAACTGACGGACTAATTAGATTTTTAATTTTGATACCCTGGACACAACCCAATTCTCATCAGATTTCTTTGCTGTGTAAAAGTCAGTGCTAAACGTGATACGCTCCATGTACATACCCACTTTTATTTCCTTACGTAAATCAAAACTTATTGCAAAGACTTTTTAAATAATAATTATCTATACTTCCATAACGAATTGTCTTGAAGACTCCCACTTATAATTCAATAAACAGACGACATCAAACAAGTAGTGAACGCCAGTCCTCTAGAGAATTCAGCAAATAATGTAGTTAGGCGCAATTGTGGCTGCGGAAAATCACAATGTCGCACCGTTGTCGCAATGTCGCGATGTCGCAGTGTCGCTGTGTGGCTGTCGCCCGCCGACAACGACTGCCGACGTCTACCATAGCTTATTTCTTTGTAAAGCAATGCAATTTCGTTTTGCAAATAAACGAATAAGATGCTTGTTTCTGTTTAGAATCCCGTGTCTACGGGATATGGTGTAGGGATGTTTTCTATGGGAAACCGAAAGTAAAAAATAGTAACTACCTACTGATAATGTTTGGCTCACGAAAGGTATAATATAAACTATTAATAAGGTGTGATGACAAAAAAACCGTGCTTAGTAACTGTATTTATTCTTGACAAAGATTAAAGGCTTTCAAAATGTTTGACAATCAATATTTTCATTCCTAATTCCTAATACACGGCATAGTAAAGCTATGTAAAAACAAGTAAATAATGAATGTAACAGGTTTTTCGTTTAACATAAATACTTGTAATATACAGAATCTTTAAAAATCTAACTAGACAACCCCTTTCTGTCTACTTTTCTTCTATTTTTATACACTGTTCGTGTAATTACGTAGTGTGAGTACGTGTGTAACAGTGTATATAGTGAGTTGTAACAACAGTGTTGTTTCTTTGTTACAGTTTTCCCGAATGTGCCGGCCGCGCCGGGCATGCCATGCGCGGGTGAAGACAGTAAGTACCTCTATACTTGGGGAGACAGGGGCTAATTGTTACATGGGTAGCTTGTAACAACAGGTATTGGAAAGCTTAAGAGTAAAATTGATGCGATGGAAGTCTTGTATTATGGTGATAAGTGATAATTGAGTTCTTTGAAGAAAATTGTATTTATTTGGTGAAATTGTTATCCTCCCGGGAAGAATCCTATGGGATATAACTTTTAAGGGATTTCTAAGTAAGTTTATAACTTACCGACTTGCTTGACCGCTTGAGAGCAGTGTCGATAGTTAAAGTTTGAAAAACATACATTGAATTTCATTAACTAATTAAATTGCTTAACCCTTTGAGTACCGTCATTATAGACACAATTAAAGAACAATAGGTTGCGGTCACCGGTGTCCTCGCGGTGTTTGACAGTTTAAAATAGCATACATGTAATTTCAAATGTCATAATCAGTCATTTAACATTGAAGATACTAAAGGACTGTCAATGTTTGTTGTTTAAAACATGCAAGTTAATTTACCTTTTATTAAACTTACGCTGTTACAACGTACCCCCGTCTCCCCCGCCCCCACTACCCCTTTCTCTAAGCTCATTACTTGCGACCTGTTCTCGTCTATTTTTGTTTTGTTTCCATTTCACGTGGCTCTGTTCTCACGAAGATTTGTAATGTGTCCTAATTGTTTGTTCTTAGGTCTTAGTTTAAAACCTGTCTAGTGAACAGATCGGTCTTAATTTAGGTGTGTGTTGTGTTTTGTTAAATTAAGGAGTATGGGAAATGGTTTATATTTTTGACAGAAGTAATAATTATTGAATAGGATAGTTTCTTTATTTTTTATTGTAATGTCCGTCTGGTATATTAATTTAAAACAATAGACACGTATTTTTTCTTTTCTCACAAAATTAAATACTTTCGACGGTATATTAATTTTAAATGTCGTGTGACGTCACAACGTGCTACATTTTGTATCACTTTTTGACGTAACGATCTCCCACTCCTAAAGTAACTCCATTTTATCTAAGTATTGTAACTTTATATGAGAAAATAAAAAAAATACGTGTCTAATTTTTTCTCATTATCTAACTGACGGACTAATTAGGTTTTTAATTTTCATGCCCTTGCAACTGCCTTATTGTTCAGAGTACAATTCAGACGAATTTGTTCTTGTTTCTTTGATAATTTATTGGAATAACAAAACTTAAACTAGAAACTCGGTATAATAAAAACAAATTATATTGGAATGGAAAGTGGTCAATGTGAAAATAAATAGATTAAAAACTGAAAGAAAATTGAGATCATATAAAGGACTAGCTACTTCCGCGCGGTTTTACACGCTCTGCTCAGCTCCTATTGGTCGTAGAATGATGTTTTATAGCCTATAGCCATCCTCGATAAATGCGCTATCCAAAACAAAAACAATTATTCAAATCAGACTTGTAGTTACGGAGATTAGTGCGCTCAACCAAACAAACAAAAAAACAAACTCTTGCGCTTTATATAATAGTATAAGATTAGTAACTACAATTTTTACCAACTAACTAACATTGACAACATCTGATATCTAACAGAAACCATCTGAATGCTTAAACATATGAATATTTCATATCCAACACAAACTAAAACTAGCAACAAAATGTAGGTAACCAGTCTCAGCGCAGAAATCGTGGTAGCGATATTTGTCAGCCACCAACATTACCATGTGAATACGTTGAAATGATGCACATTATGGATGCCGACGAAGTACGGGATGGTATTCAAGCATATTTCGTACTATGCTACCTATCATCATAATATTTTGTACTTACGCTTCATCTCTTTGCCAGTATTACAATTTTTAAATCTTTATAGAATATTTTAATTTATTTTATTTTATTTAGACTTAGTACAAAAACTGCCTAGTAGTCGCTAGTGCGACTGAGTGGAAGGGGTCTTGGGTTCGATTCCCGAGTCGGGCAAAATATTACTGGGTTTTTTTAAATTCTCAGTAGTAGCACAGAGTCTGTAATAGTGCCCGGTATATGGCATAGGCTCACCCCCTATTACATTGGACTCATAACATAAATAATGAAAAGTGGGTGTTACATTGTACCTACAATGGCATTAAGTGTCGTAATTTGCACCTATGCCTTCGGGGATAAAAGGCGTGATGTTGGGTTATGTACAAAAAAATTCATGTACTGGTAGATTTAATACCTTTATTTTGATGATGGAAGATTATTGTGGTTGATTTTTTGTGATTCAGTGAATAGATAGTGTTCTATTATTGAACAGTATGTGCGTATCAGATGTATGTCAACTATCTCGAAACCCTTGAATGTAATTAGGGAAATAAAATGTTAATTAAATAAATTTGAAAAAGGCGTCATGATGATAGCACTAACACACGCGATACGATAGTATTAGTAATAAATCCAAATATTAATAATTTAGTATATTTTGACATCGGTATCATATGAACAAGATACAACACAATTTCACGCCTATTATCCCCGTAGGGGTAGGCAGAGATGCACATAGAGGTAACACCCACTTTCCACTATTTACATATGTTATGAGTCCCATATAATATCATATCAACTTAGACCCCACTATAATTATCCATTCACGTAGTAATAAGTAGGTACCTACTACAAGCTCAACAATTAAAGCACTTCTATTTGAAGTCTCAAAAACTAAAACAGAGCAAACTAGATTCATTTTACAAACGTGCACATAATCAAAGCTCCTCGCGAAAAGGTAAACTCGACAGTTGGCCATATTTGCTAAAATCTCACACTTTGATTAAAAGTACGTCAACAGCGTACATCAGAGGTAAGGGCGGGGGCACAACATTGCGTTGCGACGACGCTACGCTAGAATTTGCGGTGCCATATAACTCATTGTGGCAACCATACAAATGCACCCTAGATAAGTGGCATACTAGTCAGTCGATTGAACTAAAAAAAAGTCAACAATATAGGTTTTGTAAAGCTATATTTACAGTTAATAACCCCAACAACTAGAGTAAGAGATATATATTTACATTTTAAACTTGAAAAAACATGAACTAAAAATGGCGAGTTACTCACGTGAATGTACCGAGAAAAGCTCTACTAGTTTCGAACCACAGAGGGGTTCTTCCACGTGAGCAGCGTACATCAGAGGTAATGGCGAGGCCACAACATTGCGTTGCGAAGACGCTACGCTAAAATTTGCGATGCCATATAACTCATTGTGGAAACCATACAAATATATCATTTGTATTGCACCCTAGATAAATGGCATAAAAGCCAGTCAATTAGACTACAGAAATGTCAACAATATAGGTTTTGTAAAGCTATATTTACAGTTAAAAGCCACGTTAACTAGAGTAAGTGATTACGGGGTATTTCTTGTAAGGTCTCAAGCCGCCACTAGTTGGTAGTAGGGTTCCATACCTATCGATTTAACCCCCATGTATGTTCTACGATTTTTTGTACTTTTCGAGAGATTCGTTATTTTTATGATTACCTATATTTTTATTAACAAATGAGCTCTGTTCAAAAGTAAAGAGATAATAAATCTCAGAATTAATAAAAATTTTGCCAAAATGCTATATAATAAAATATGAAAATTAAACAATTTTCGATACCCAAGAATAACCTTACAAGAAACATCCTGTATATCCACATTTTAAACTTTAAAGAACATATTTTTTCTATTTAAATCGACTAATGTTTATGACATTCAGAGCATAATACTAATAACATAACATAACATCACGCCTTTTATCCCCGAAGGGGTAGGCAGAGGTGCACATTATACCACTGTACAATGTAACACCCACTTTTCACTATTTATACATAACACTAATGATGGCTAATATTTTGATGTAGGTAAGTAAGATACCCTACACGACAAAAAACGACACGTTGCTTTGACGTCACCGCAACACAATATTGTGTCCCCACCCAGCCAGCCAGTGTATCAACGGCAGTTGTGTGTAATTCTGCCAGTCTATGTAATTTTCTGTACACAGTGATACGAAGTAAGTGACGTGTTTACCTTTCAGTGTGAAATCGTCCTTTGATGTAACTAACTGGCGTGTTTGATCTTGTGCCATTGATTTACGAGTCGCTGTTGTATAGTGACAAGCGTAGGTACGTGTTTATTAAAATAGGCTTAAGTTAAACGTTAAAGTGTAGGTTTACAGTTTTAGTGTAGGTAACGTAATAGTTCTTTTGAAATTAGCTTTATAAAATTCTCAGTAGACGCCATGCTTCTACTGAGAATTTTTTAAAACCTAGTAATACTTTGACCGACCCGGGAATCGAACCCGAGACCCCTTGCCGGTCGCACATGTGACCACTCGGCCAACGAAGCGGTTGATAATAGTAATATATAAGATATATTTTGTTCTATAAACCATGATATAATAAATATTATCGCGGAGAACCTAACGGGTAACCGGGGCTCCGGCTCGACGTGCAGGAGAAGGAACGGGGTGGTTTTTAGTCAGTAAGAGTCTGACACTCGCTTCCGCCTCACCCAGGCGGGAGCGGTCATTCGATGATTTTCCCCCCTTAAAAAAAACGCCTAAAACCATAACTCAAATATTTAAACATATTCAAATAAAATAGAATAAATCTCCAGTACTTCTAGTTTTAATAGCAAATGTAATTTCGTCTGGAGCACGAATGTCGGGTAAATACGACCAGCAGCGGTGGGGTGTTTGCTAAAATCTCGTTGTGAACATTGTCCAGTTTCTGCCACCACATTAGCATACCAATGGACGTAATATTATTATCGCATATAGTTGCAAATGTAATTCTTTTTGTTTTTAAATAGGGATTTTGTAATATGATTACAGTTTTGTACTCAACTTTGCTCTTTTTCATTTGTTTATGCAAAATTAAGGGTAGAATTACATTTTCAACCGAATTCAAAAAGAAGGAAGAGGTTCCCAATTCGACTGTATTTTGTTTTTTATGTTTGTTATTCGATTATTCGAAGACGCCTGAATCGATTTCAAAAATTATTTGTTTGTTTGAGACTTCTTTTCAGGCGGTTGTGTAAACTATAAATACGTGTCGCGGAGAACCTAACGGGTTACCGGGGCTCCGGCTCGACGTGCAGGAGAAGGAATGGGGTGGTTTTTAGTCAGTAAGAGTCTGGCACTCCCTCCCGCCTCACCCAGGCGGAAGCAGTCATTCGATGATTTCCCCCCCCTTAAAAAAGCTATAAATACGTATACCAATACCAAGAATAGTTATTTTTTGCTTTTTATTTTTAACTTTACGTTTCTTTTTAGTTTTTAAAGTCGGTTTTTTAAACGCAGTTTTTATTTTTATCACTTGCAATAATGAGCTTTGGTCAGTGTAATCGTGATCACTGCCTATGTCTGACGACACGTCTAGTCGGAAACATGGTACTAGTCTTTGACATTTTACTAATATGTACTACACAGTTTCAATTAAACTGTCAAACACCAAGCGGTCACCGGTGACCGCGACCTATTGTTCTTTAATTGTGTCTATAAAACCGGTACTCGACGAGTTAATACTAAAACGTTCATGAACCTAATCTTACAATTGTAAACATTATTCGTTTATCCGTATTTTGGAATTAAAATAATCTATATGACAATGATTATCGCATTCCACTCGAATTAGCAACAAATTTCTTAAAATGTAACATTATCAATCAGAAATTTTACTACAATCATCACTCTTCTTACAAAGCCGAAAGTTTACGGAAAAAAATATAAAAACATAAATGATAACATCAACGTTAACACGATTAGCAACTTAAAAGAACCAAAATATCGGAATTGCAGTTATTTGTTAAAGATTTCAATGAAATCGACTTATTTGAGGTGTGATTCAATAATTTCGTTAAACTCGATAAGATTAAGAATGATAAGCCAGTATCGTGCCAGCTGCGAGTCGGAATAGTGCCTAAACCTGCGACTATGAGCCCACACTCAAAATAAATGTCCTGCTCCGTTGAAATCGCTAAGCACCTGTTAAAAGGTACATTGGACATTATTTGCATAAAGCCCGATAATTGGGTCATCTACCCTATAAATGTGTGGCCAGGAAAGCAGCGGGTAGCGCGCTTAAATACTTATTTGTGTTGAAATATTTTTATAAGTTTTTTAATAACTATTTATGGAATGAAACGTGATGGATTTGGTGAATTGTATCTGTGAGTGAATAAGTGTTAATAGTGTTTAGTGAGGGGAATTATCGTAGTAATTGATAGTGTGGTTCAATGACCTCCTGCCGCTTAATCGTTTGTAAATAGTTATAAACATTCCTAAGAACTATTTATTATTTATCAATAATAAACAAACAATGTATAAATAATAACTACTAGACTATTTTATCGTAGTTGCCTCAATCTTTCCGAATAGTGAATAATAAGAAAAAAGTTATGTGTTCTTCTAAATTTTAGTTTCTTTAAAACAAACGTAATGGTTAGTTGTATTTAGTGAAATAATTCCAAGTTTATGTTGCATGGGGTTGGGGATTACCTTAATTTACAAATGGAATAAGACAACAAACCGTTAATATTTTCTAAACCTCACTATATGGACAACATGGTGTCACCTGTACTGTAATTACTCGTAGGATGGCTGGTTTCGAGGCCGCACCCTAAATTGCAATAGGATCGCGTGCACAAAGATTAATGTTTTCCTTAAGTGACATGGATTTTAACCGTTTTATACGGAAAGTCACTAAATACATGCTACACTATCAATTTTCCCTTTTGTACTTAATGTTGGAGTTTTTATAGAAGCTATTTTGATGAAAAAAGTATTTTCTGTGGTATTGTAGTTGAGTATAGTCACATTGATGAGCTGTTGTCAATTTAGGTGATGTTATTTGGATATTCTAGGTTAGGTTCTGTAAGTAATTCATCTTTGTTTATTATGTTTTGCTAGGCATACGTATTTAGGACACGCATAATGGGTAAACACGTATTGTTTATCTAGGTTCTTTAATTTTACTACAATCGACTACTACAATACCTACTTTTACTTAAATTACTAATTACTTAACTTAGACTGCCAATAGAAAACTGCTGAAGGCAAATCCTCTGCTAACGTTGGTCACCGGTGACCCCATGGCGTTTAATGTGTTAAATTAACTTTGTATTAAATAAGGTATGTTATCCAATGACAATACATCCTTCTTATAGTGTGTTATAGTAAAAAAAATGTAGTAATAATAGATTCTGGACACAAACGGATGTGAACTCGTCAGCTCGTGGAGACGGTAGAGTAGAGGCGTTAGGCGCCAAATGCGGGAGAAGTCATAGGATGATTCTCTCCCTCAAAAAAAAAAATGGCGGCAATAAGACAGATAGGTTATTGTTATTGAGACTGGCCGTTATACAAGACCTCTATCAAACTTCAATCCTATTGCTATTTAAATAAAGTGGGTTTCTCATGATATTTTTATATGAATTTCAGGAAGCATATACAGAAGAGGCGCTCGACGGTGGCGGAAGCTATACCGCGTCAATGGACACATCTTCCAGGCGAAGCGATTTAACAGAGTGAGTTTATTCACATATTCATATATACGTATTTTATATCTTAACTTATTGATGCATAGTGGCGATTGGTGCACCTGTCGCCTTTGTTGTGGAGAAATTTTAATATAAGTTATCATAAATAAGTAAAATCGCGGGTTACTTACGTGAATATACTGAGAAAAGCTCTACTAGTTTCGAACCACAGAGGGGCTCATTCTGCGCACACACAGTGAGCTGCGCGACGTCGCCGCGACCACGCACGCTGCTCATGAGGAAGAACCCCTCTGTGGTTCGAAACTAGTAGAGCTTTTCTCAGTATATTTACGTGAGTAACCCACGATTTTACTTAATTTAGTATGTCTCACGATAGTTATTATAAAAACATAAGTTATCTTTTTTTTTGAGGATGGTAAATCATCCAATGTCTTCTCCCGCCTCGGGTAAGGCGAGAGGGAGTGTCAGACTCTTACTGACTAAAAACCAGTAATATGTTATCTCTGGCTAGTCTATTTTTGAATAACAAAGCAACCGCATTATGACATAACTGATAGATATATCGTCGTAAAAATGTGTTAGTTAAGCCAACAGCAACTAATCTCTGAAATGATATTATAATTTTGTAGAGTAAATTTAAATGTAAATTTTTACTTTCCAAACAATAATTTTTAATACTTTTAAGCAAGTGGGTATGTACGTCAGGGTAACAGGTAAGGTAACATTGGAACGTCTTCCGATACATAATAATGATTTACTTCAAAGACTCGCAAAATAACGTATCTTATTTCCTTATTCCAGCGCGCCTTCTGTGCCTTCTGCCAGGACCGTATTTGGGGCCTGGGCCGGCAAGGGTTCAAGTGCATCCAGTGCAAGTTGCTGGTGCACAAGAAGTGCCACAAGCTCGTGCAGAAGCCGTGCTCCAACGAACATGTGGACCCCATCGAGGTCAAGGATGATGCCAACGGGGAAAGCACGCTGGGACGAGCGTCTTCTGTTAGGTAAGAAATGTTAAACTGGTAATTCATGACCAAATATTCACTTCGTTGGCTGTCATGTTTCTTTATGTTCTTGTTGGACTCTTGTTTATACCTGGTGGACATTTGCCTCTTTGACACCTAATAGTTTTAGTGTTAGATATTTTATTTTGAACTACTAGGAGTTCATAACGAGTTAAAAGTAAGCGGGAAATACCTAATTCCAGTACCAAATAAATTATTATGTTTTCGGCTTACTCACGTAGTAATTCGACGAGGAACTCGACTAGTTTCAAGCCATGCTAGAGGCTCATAGTCACAGTAGCAGCGCGACAGTCGCCACGTCGCGGGTCGCGAAATGCTGCTCATGAATATGAGCCTCTAGCATAGCTTGAAACTAGTCGAGTTCCTCGTCAAATTACTACGTGAGTAAGCCGAAAACATAATAATTTATTTAGTATGTCTCACGCAAGTTACAATACTAATTCCAGTACCATTTTTTGTGTCCAAAGCTAATTACCTAGTTCCTCTATTGCAGTACAATTAACATTTGGTGTTCACCTGCTATTCCAATATTCCTAAATAATAGCCGCTAGAGTATCACTTCTTCAAGTTATCACTTTCTTTAAAATCTTGCCGTTTACTCATTGCAATGCAAGATAGCGCCCGGCGCCATATTTGTACATATCGACATGATATAATATGCAAATATCAACCTAATCCGCTAAATATTATGACACAAAATCACTATATCAGCATATAGGTCGTTATTGTTGTAAGGATTTCTTGATAATTCTGTTTATTTGAAAGATAAATTGGATTACTCATTAATCTGTTGTTGCTATTTTTAAATACCATCTGTTCTTAGTGTAGGAACTTATGATTTAAGTTAAATGTTTAATTTTAACAATATGTTGCTATGCTATATATCTTTCATCGCCTATTTAGCGGAACTTATAACAAAAGTGGTTAAAATTAAGTATTATATTATCTTCCCCAATCTCCGCAATCCCTGAATCCCTAACAATCCTCAAATTCCTAATCCCCAAAAGGCCGGTAACGCACTTGTAATGCCTCTGGTGTTCCGGGTGTATATGGGTAACGCCGATTGCTTACCATCAGGTGATCCGTCTGCTTGTGTACCGGCTTATCCCATAAAAAAACAAAATGCTCTGCTTCCTTTTTTATTCAAAAAAAAAACATTTTAAGCGTAAACATTTTGTTTTGTTACTATAATAATTAAATTTATACACACAAATGTACAAAAAATCCATCTCAACAGTAATATAATCAGTAATAATTCCCCACAATCATATTATTACAATAATACTTTTACTCTAATTTTGCACAAAAATATGTTTTGGGCTCCCGTTATCAGTATTTTTTTCATAACCTTAACCTTCCGGCGATAGACACGTGAGTCAGCGACCAATGAATTCATTTGTAAATATGTAACAGCGTGTTGACAGCATTTTAGGTACCCAGTCTCTAGATACCGTTACCACAGAACAGTATAAAATAATACAAAAATAGATGAGCGTATAAAATGCTGCCGTTTTTCAAATTATTGTGTTTAAAATTAAAAGATATATTTACTGTGATTCGGATATTTAAAGATAAGTGTAGTTACAAAGTTAAGGTGTTGTTTTCAAAGTGTGTGGTGATGTGTAGGTCTCGCGCTGAAATCGAACCCCCGCTGCCGGAGACGCCGCCGGCCCCTGCGCCGGCGCCGCCTCGCGCGGACGAGCTGGAGCCTGGCTCACAGAGACAGTACTCTCTCGATGACTTCGAGCTCATCAGGGTCATTGGACGAGGTTCTTATGCTAAGGTAAACTTTGATTTTATATGTTTAATTTAAAGTGTTGACTGATATATTTTATTCAATAGACTAAATACAAGATCAAACAAACAAAATGAAGTCCATCCCATTATGAAGTCGCGGAGAACCTAACGGTCCCGGAGAACCTAACAACAGGTTACCGGGGCTCCGGCTCGACGTGCAGGAGAGGGAACGGAGTGGATTTTAGTCAGTAAGAGTCTGACGCTCCCTCCCGCCTCACCCAGGCGGGAGCAGACCCCCCTTAAAAAACATCCCATTATGAAGAAAAAAAGCAATTCGGCTTTGTTTTTTGGTGTTTGCATGTCACAAATGAATATCAATCTTTTATGGTCTCCCTGGCCTCCTAAGAATAAAGGCGTGTATTTATATCGTTACCAAAATATTTTACTGTTTACAATTGGGATGATGACAGGGTATGAAAATTAAAAATCTAATTAGTCCGTAAGTTTGGTAATGAAAAAATATTAGACACGTATTTTTTATTTTGTCGTATAATAAAACTATACTTAGATAAAACGAATCAAAATTTAGGCTAAAACGTCATTTCTACGTATAAAATGTACATAGAAGTGACGTCACACGACATTTCAAATCAATATATCGTCGAAAGTATTCGTTTCTGTAAGAAAATAAAAAAATACGTATCTAATGATTTAATCTACCAGACGGACATTAAAATAAAAATTAGGCATCTACCCTACCTAACAAAGAAAGACACGCAATTAAAGTACTTTATCACCACAACAAATTAATTTACACATACTCCCAATTACATTTCAGGTGCTGATGGTGGAACTGAAGCGCACAAAACGCGTGTACGCAATGAAGGTGATCAAGAAGGCGCTGGTGACGGACGACGAGGACATCGACTGGGTGCAGACTGAGAAGCATGTCTTCGAGACTGCCTCCAACCATCCATTCCTCGTCGGGCTACACTCCTGCTTCCAAACCCCAAGCCGACTGTTCTTTGTCATTGAGTTCGTTAGAGGCGGGGATCTCATGTGAGTGACATTGGATTTTATACTTTATTTTGATTATGCTTTAGAGAATAATTTCATCTGTTGGTCAACCTGTGTTGTTTCTATGAAACTTATGACGGCAGACTAGAATGTATTTGTGTTTAACCCTACTCCTTCAATAGGTGTCGTAGACCTAAATACGGAACTGCATATTTGAGAGAGACCGAACGACGGCATTTTTTAAAAAACTTGAACCTTTAAATCTGAAAATTTTAAACGTAACGTAATTTGCAGGCGGTTGCCTGTAAATTACGGCAAACCTTCATATAAAAAGCTCCTAGTTAGCTACACAGTTGGCGCGGTGACTGGGCAACTGGTTGGTTAGCCAACGTGTAGCGAGTTCGATTCCCACATGGAGCAACTCTTTATATGATCCACAAATTGTTGTTTCGAGTCTGGGTGTCATGTGTATGTGAAATTGAATGTTTGTAAACGCACCCACGATACAGGAGAAAGGATTTTCTCCAAATTTTTTTGTTTAACAATAACAAAAGCATAGTTCTGCTGTAAACTGCCGTGGCAGTCCGTGGGCTATCGATGTTGATAATTTAATTCATACCCTTACCGTATAAAACGTTGAATCCTCATTACCCCGCATAGGTTCCACATGCAGCGCCAACGAAGGCTGCCGGAGGAGCACGCGCGGTTCTACGCGGCCGAGATATCGCTCGCGCTGCACTTCCTGCACGAGCGCGGCGTCATATACAGGGACCTCAAGCTCGACAACGTACTACTCGACCACGAGGGACATATTAAACTCACTGACTATGGAATGTGCAAGGTACAACCACTATGATCATAACTGTTATATTTATGAGGACGTCACTCGAGTGGTCGATTCCCGGGTGGGGCAAAGTATTACTGGATTTAAAAAAAATCTCAGTCAGTAGCACGGAGTCTGAAATTGTGCCCGGTATATGGCAATAGCATACTAATAGCGACTCATAACATAGATAGTGAAAAGTGGGTGTTACATTGTACAGTGGTATAATGTGCACCTCTGCCTATCCCTTCGAGGATAAAAGGCGTGATGTTATTTATGTATGTATATATGTGATAATACTTTTCGACAACAGAGAATGTCCTTGCTTCCTATAAAAGGTACTTCAGTAATCTATACTCTACTGATACTAAATCTCCTACTGCTGCTGCAGATTTCATTAAAGCTTCTTCATTATTTATTTATCATTTATAATATATTTTGTTATGTATATCTTAACTAGGCTTCATCTTAACTTTGCCAACCAAATCTTCATGTATTCCATTTCTAACTCAAAGGTCCTTTTCCACCAAAAAAAATGCTTAATTAATTTTAGATTTAATGGTGTTGTTTGAGAGTATCTTAAAATTGAATGACTCTAAAGTCATATTTGAACATTAATACAACATTACTATAACAAAATCTACTTCCGTCTACAGGAAGGCGTCCGTCCCGGCGACACGACGTCCACGTTCTGCGGCACTCCGAACTACATCGCGCCCGAGATCCTGCGCGGCGAGGAGTATGGCTTCTCCGTGGACTGGTGGGCGCTGGGCGTGCTCACGTACGAGATGTTGGCCGGACGCTCGCCCTTCGACATCGCACAGGCGGCTGACAACCCTGACCAAAACACTGAGGATTATTTGTTCCAGGTTTGTGCTTTGTAGATGCACCGACTGCAACTGGTCCGGGAAATGGTAAAAAGTTGATGTACTGGTGAATAAATCTTTTATTCTATCTTAACCCTTAAATGCTTAGTAAGTGATATTGAAATTCGGATACATAAATATAATAAAGTTGTTCGGATCACAGACTAAACATTTTTCACGATGAAAATTTACATCACTTGCATTTAAGGGTTTAGTGATTATTGATTGCTTTATGATGAAACATAAATAACACCGAATATTAACTGTGCAAGTGGTAAATCTTAACATAACTTCACAAAAACCTCTGCATCTTCATCAAATGCCCATTGCTGAGTTTGCTCAGCAGTTAACCCTATTCTCCCACGGAGAAGGTTTGAGCATTAATCACTACGCTTGCTCAGTGCGGGTTGGCGATTTCAAACAAATCAGAAATAATAAGCTCAGGTTTTCTCACGATGTTTTCCTTCACCGTTTGTCGTGATGTCCAGATAATCTTAGAAAGTACATATAACTGGGCATAAGTCACATTGGTACTTGCCGTTGGTAGATTTCGAACCCGCACCCACATGCATGAAAAGCGAGTGTCTTAAATATCCGGACCACCGCTAACATACAAAAACCCCTTACTCTTCGATCAACAGAAAAATCATTAATATTTTTATGAACTTTCAACACTTACTCACACTTTAATTTAAACATTAACTTCTATTTATAAAAATAATCATGACTTATTTTGGTTAATAATAATTTGCAGGTAATCCTAGAGAAGACGATCCGTATCCCTCGTTCGCTGTCAGTGAAGGCCGCGTCAGTACTGAAGGGGTTCCTCAACAAGAACCCGGTGGAACGACTCGGCTGCGGGGAGAACGGGTTCCTCGACATCGTCTCACATCCGTTCTTCAAGAGCATCGAGTGGGAGATGGTATGTACTATGTTTTTAGTCATTTTGACGTATTTTATTTTTTAAACTGCCTCGTTGGCCGAGTGGTCGCTAGTGCGACTGCCGGCTAAGGGGTCTCGGGTTCGATTCCCGGGTCGGGCAAATTACTGGGTTTTTAAAAATCTCAGTAGTAGCACGGAGTCTGGAAATGACCCGGTATATGGCAATAGGCTCACCCCCTATTACATGGGACTCATAACATAAATAGTGAAAAGTGGGTGTTACATTGTATGTGTAGTGGCATTAAGTGCCGTAATGTGCACCTCTGCCTACCCCTTCGGGAATAAAAGGCGTGATGTTATGTTATGTTATGTTTATTTTTAAATAAATGTTTCCCCACACTTGGATTTTCTCCTGTGTCGCCAAACATACGTTTGTAACCGCGCCCATACTTGTATGTTCACATACACATGACCCACACCCGGAACAATAATATGTGGATCACACAGTGTTTTAAACTATATTTTTATTACTAAATTATCATCTTGATTAGACCAAATATCGACTTCCATAATTGGGTACTTGCAACTAGTCAAATTCAATACTTTTTCGAACTGTCAACGACAGTTTTCTATGAATTTTGTACGAGATTGTGTCAATACACAATCTCAGTTTAGCGTCAAAGAGTATAGTTATTTCATCAACATTTGCTGGAAAAATACTATAATTAAGTTGATCATAAAATCAATAAATGAAAGTGTGATTATTTTTTGTTATTTTATTGTATTGAACAGTCGAAATAATTTATTTTTGATTAAGGAAACTACCTAATTGTACAACCAGCTCTTAATATCTCATTTATTTTCCAGTTGGAGCAGAAGCAGGTGGTGCCTCCATTCAAGCCGCGCCTGGAGGGTGAGCGCGACCTCGCCAACTTCCCGCCGGAGTTCACTGACGAGCCGGTGCATCTCACGCCTGATAATGAGTTAGTTACATTATTTATTTATTTATTTACTAGCTTTTACCAGCGGCTTCGCTCGCGTCACAAAAGAATAAAAAGTAGCCTATGTGACATATACCAATACACACAGCGCCATCTATACCAATACTTTTGTTTTTCCTCGGGAATATCAATTTTTTCCGGGTTAAAAAGTACCCTGTTATTTAATCCGGACTTCTAACTTTACGTCTGCAAAGTTAGAAGCAATCGGTTGAGTAGTTACGGCGTGAAGGTGAAACAAACAAACTCACTTTCAGATTTATAATATTAGTAAGGATTTATTCCACTTACATTTATCTTTACAGGTTAATGCCCAATGCGATAGATGTGCTCATCTTAATATCTACCTATAGCATATTACATATAATGCATTCCTTGTGAATTCACTCAGAGTGATAGACTTACGTGTAGATATGATTTTTTATTATTATTATCTGTGGTTTAGGGACTTTCGTTCAGGAACATGTCAGCCCCGTCAGGATATATTTTCTTACATCTAACATAATTAATTAAATTGGTCAAAGTATTCAAAGTCAAAGTCAAAGTCATTTATTTCAATTAGACCAGAAAGGCACTTTTGAACGTCAACAAAAAAAATTAAAATTATTTTTATTTAGTATCACTGGGCAATGGCTGTAGACGATTTGGGATTCGCTAGTATAGAGGAATAACGACCAAAATCTAACGCATTCAATTTAAATTCACGTATCAATGATTCTCGGTCTCCAACATATTTGCTACATTCTTCAATAATAGACTTTGTTTCGGCATTTCTTCTCAGAGTAGTCAGTTAGGAAATATCGGCCTCATTGTTCACTTGATAAAATTGACGTGTAAAAGTGCTGCCTTGTAGCCTATTTGCAGAAATAAATTCACTTGTTTCACTTGTTTCAATAGTACAGAGATGTTAATTAGTTTTATTTCAGGAACAGATGATCTTAATTTTTTTACATTACAATGTAACAGAATGTTAAGTAAAAAAAAAATAATGTAAGAAAATTTAATACACTTTAAATTTTGTGTTATAACTCTCGTAAGACATATAAATTAGTTATGTATTATGGTTTACTCACATTACTGTCTGACGAGGTATTAACTCGACTCGTTCACACTGGGGTAGTGACGAGCAGCTTTGCATGTACCATGTTCCATGTAATGTATAACAATGACTCTTGTGTCCCAGTACGGTGATCGCGGACATCGACCAGTCGGAGTTCGAGGGCTTCGAGTACGTCAACCCGCTCCTCATGTCGCTCGAGGACTGCGTGTGACACCACGCCTGTCTGCTGCACCCCTACCACGACCCCGCGCAGGTACTGGCTTCTACTCACCCACGACACTTTCCACTCACTCGGTACTCAATCATGTCTTCGTCACTCAAACTCCCACATACTCATCCACTCACTCACTCAGTTCTCACTTACTTTCTTGTCACTCAGTCACCCATATACTCATCCACTCACTCAGTACTCACTCACTTCCTTGTCACTCAGTCACCCACATACTCATCCACACACTCACTCATCACTCACTCACTTCCTTGTCACTCAGTCACCCACATACTCATCCAGTCACTCACTCAGTACTCACTCACTTCCTTATCACTCAGTCACCCACATACTCATCCACTCACTCACTCAGTACTCACTCACTTCTTTGTCAATCAGTCACCCACATACTCATCCACTCACTTACTCGGTACTCACTCACTTCTTCGTCACTCAGTCACCCACATGCTCATCCACACACTCACTCTATACTCACTCACTTCCTTGTCACTCAGTCACCCACATACTCATCCACACACTCACTCAGCACTCACTCACTTCCTTGTCACTCAGTCATCCACATACTCATCCACTCACTTACTCGGTACTCACCCACTTCTTCGTCACTCAGTCACCCACATACTCATCCACACACTCACTCTGTACTCAATCACTTCTTCGTCACTCCGTCACCCTCATACTCATCCACACTCACTCGGTACTCACACATACACTTCGCACTCACACATTCCATTTAATCCCTCGTTTACTACTCATTCATTCATACATTTCATATTCACCTGTTTATTACTTGTTTACTCACTCACTCGTTACCTACTCATCCACTTTTTAGGCCGGCAAACAAATAGGTACATCACCTGATGGTAAGCAATCGGCGCCGTCCATGGGCACACGTAATACTAGGGGAGTACACAAGTGTGTTGCCGGCCTTTTGTGGGATAAGGATTTGAGGATTGGGCGTTTGGGGATTAGGGAAATTGGTGGTCTTACTAAAATAATAACTTTATATCCAGACGTATGGGTACGGTGCAGAGTCGTCGTCGTCGGACTACGACAGCGTATGCAGCGAGGCGCCGGCGCGCAAGCCGACCCTGCTGCAGCACATGTTCTGTCTGCCGCTCAACTGACCCCGGCCCGCCCGCCGCCCCAGGGACGACCCGCGCTACTGATACACTCCGACTGAAGCCATTGATTCGTACACTAACTTTCATTACTTTTATGCCTTATTGTTCGAGTATTGGCCTTTTGAGATAATAGGCCCTTTATACTTGAGTATTAGCCTTTTGAGATGGAACTATAAATATATTTACGTTCGAAGTGTTTGATAGAGATAAAAAAATTGTCTCAATTATTATTTGTTTATTTTATTTGATGTAAAACTTTGTTATGATTCAAATTTAAGTTGTACTATGGACCAAATCTGTTCATATTTACAACTTTCATTGGAATAATATTGAAAATATTGGCAATATACTTAAAAATCAACATTCCAAATGTTTGGCTCCGTATTAAAAAAGTCTCGTGGCGGTATATAAATTAAAAATGTCGTGAAAACACGCTAACTTGCTATCCTACAAAGGGGTACAGCCAGAATAGGCGATCGTGCAGATATATATTAGTATATTATAATAATAACTTAATAAAGTTTTTGAAGATTACATTAAAAATAAATATTCGTAATAATAATAATAAATATTGAAATTTGTAAATATGTATGTATATTATACAGCGATTCTAAAACTTGTAAAACTTCGACGCGACAAGCTCGTCAGAAGAAGTCGTAGAAATACATTGAAAATTATATAAAATACTCTTCTCAAGGCATTACTAAATTAGTGTAAAATTAGAAGTAAATTGTATTAATAAAATTTGGATATTTTGTAACGCACAGAACGTGCCAATGTAAGCACAATACTAGATGTCAATGGCTTCTCTCTTCGCTTAAAAAAATAAACATCATTTTTGCTTTAAGCACTATTTCTTCTAAACATTGTTACATTAACGAATTCACGTTAACAAACATACAACAGATTTTTTTATAAATTGTTAACGTTATTGTAAATCTTGTAATTTGTATTAACAATATTTTAATGTTTTTTGAAACCGTTCTTAAGTAATGGTAATTTGTTAAATATTAACGAAACACGATTTTAAGTATTTAGTAAAAAGTATTATTTTTATGTAGTATATGTAAAATTATCGGATGTAATATAAACTCGTTTGGAACTTAAATATTTATTGTATATGCGAAAATGTACTTATTTCATTGTTATATTGTATTGTATATTTAGGTATTGTTAACATTCCCTGTATTACAGAACAAATGTATAAATCTCAGATCTGAATTTATTTATTACGTACTTGAAGGAATTGATATTGTGTTACCATCATCAAAAACGAATTTTGTCTACAGATAATGATAAAGATTTTACTAAATTGTGGGCTAAGAGTGCATGTCTAAGTAGCCAATGGTGGTGCTCATAATGTTACGTGCGTCGGTCAAACATTACGCTTCAGTACTTAGGTAGGGAGCAGTTTCACACTATGTCCTATTAATAAAAATATTAGATCACTTATCTTCCCTGTGCTAGAACGGGTTACGCTTCTGTACATAAATTAAACAAATTTATTCGTCTATATATAATATACTTACTTACTATACGTGAAAATATTATAAGACTTAATATTTTTGAAAGTTCTATCTTTACCTTTCTGTGAGAAAGGTAACGCGATTGTGACATCGTGCCGCCATTGTGCCTCTTCCACACACCGTACTAGGGCGGCTTTGTCCACGATCGTGTTTCTAAATCATTGTTTTTGAGCAATAAACTATAATATATAGTAGTCTAATCTAATTATATGATATTGTAATTACGCGAGTCTGGTGAATCGCTCAATGAAAGGCACGTAAGGAATTAAAAGTAGTTGAAAAATTGATGACCGATCGGTCTCAGGTACTTGTTTATAGCCCTTATCAGACGTTAGTGTATTCCCTAGTTACCTAGACTAAGCTAGACTCGTAGCTGTATACCTACTGCGCGGGATTGTGCGCGGCATCTCAACATTTTACTGTATATTCGTTTCGAAGTAATACGGAGTGAGAATTGTATAGCTTTGTGTTGTTTGGTTTGTTTCGTGATTTTTGTATTCAGCGTGTACATAGGCTGGGTCGCTGCCGCGTTCTATCCCGCCCCTTTTGTAATACATGGAGAGGCACAGACAGTGATCACACTCTTGTTCTAATCTATTTGTGGTCTTCGAGTGTGTCCCGGTCACTGGCCGCGCCACTCTCTGTATCCTATATTTCATTCCCTTATGTAGTCTGTTGTCCTTCATAGCTATCACCACTCGATTAGGTAGCCAACGAATTGTATAATAAAAAAAAATATATAATATTGAGCACTGAAACAAATTTAAAATCGTGTACATTATAAACAAATTAACATGAAAAAGAATATTCGTAAATTACATCGGTTATATTATAACAAATTATTGTTAATGTAGAAGAAAAGACTTATTATATAAAATGATTATATAATCGTAATGGATCGTGTGGCGGTGCGCGTCGCAGCCCGCGGGAGCTCAAGTGTCCACAAACTATTCTAAATAGTGCGTAGTACCTATCTATTAGACATTTTGCACCGATATTGTATTGTATAGAGTATGACACGCGCCGGGCCGCTGTAGCTGCGCGCACTGTCGGTGTCGGGTCGGTACTAACTCGAGGGGCCGGCGACACGACCTCGCGTCTGCCTGTACTAGGTTTCTTTGTATTATTTATATCGTTAAGTATTTAATTATTCGTAAGCGACAGTATTGTGGTACTATTAACGCTTTAGATGTAATTAGTTAACATTCCATGTATCGGTGAGTAGATGTCGCCTCCTTACAATACGTTCTCATGTTTTTTCTCTACGATTATACAAGTTTACGGCGCGTTAAGTTTGAATGTTTTATTACCAAAAATTTTGTAACATGTATTGTATCAAATATTACTAACTGCATGACAAGTGACATTTTAACAATTATATTAGTTGTGAGAGGAATTGTTAAACAGTTACATTTCAAACTAGAACAAACCTATGTATCTTAGTTTTAAGTATTTTTAGTTAGTCGCATGTATACTCCCCGTGTACGGTAAGGAATCGATCATAGAGTTTTCTAAGATTATGTGAAATTTATTGTTTAGTTTCGGGCGAGCATGTGAACTGCCACCGACGGTATCATATGTACGTTACTTAATGTTTCTTTGAGAACTACGTGGTGCGTGAGTGAGACATACTGTCGAATTAGACTGGAGAAATTGGGATACTGTAACTATTCTATGCTTAACTGAAAATAAAGAAGATTAATCTGATTCCTATTGTTTCATTTTCTGTTGAATAAATTCCTCTTTCCAGAAAAGTATGCATAGTTGAAAGAATTTGAAGTTCTGCCAAACCTACCAAAATGTACAATGTCATGTATTTTTTAAGTGTGGCAACCCCTTTGGGCTTTGGTTATCGGTTTTAATAATTCACTGATTTCATAACATCCTCAACATCACGCCGTTTTATTCCTGAAGGGGTAGGCAGAGGTGCACATTACGGCACTTAATGCCACTGTACAATATAACACCCACTTTTCACTATTTATGTTATGAGTCCCATGTAATAGGGGGTGAGCCTATTGCCATATACCGGGCACATTTCCAGACTCCGTGCTACTACTGAAATTATTAAAAACCCAGTAATATTTTGCCCGACCCGGGAATAGAACCCGAGACCCCTTGCCCGGCAGTTGACCTTTCGACCACTCGGCCAACAAGGCAGTCTTTCATTCACTGATATCCTATAACAAAATACCTTTATACCTTTCGCCAGTTAACGTGGGCTCTGTGCAGTACCAGAATAACCAAAGATATCCTTTATAATATAATGCGAGTCACTTAGCCAGCCCTAAGCTCTTTCAAAAATCCCACCTCGACAAATATATATGTGTTGGACGACACAACAGTAACGTTAGGTTTCATAGTTTAGGGATTCTTGTGTGGGGTTAAATCCCTAATTTGAGTTACGCTCCTTTTGGTCGATAGCTTAGGGGTTAAGTGAAACACGGCGTTCGGATACCGGATATTTCGCGTAAACCAGCAAGAGAACCCTTCACTCGGAGCAGTGCGCAGTAACTGTCCGTTCCTTGCATACCTACCTCACGCTCTCATACATTTTTGCTTGCCATGCATACTTACATGTGTCCCACAATAGTAAGCATTTTAGAAGCACCCAAGATCATTCCCAGCCCACCCATCAATCATCAAATATGACTTTCCTGAGCGTGTGTTCGCCTAGGGCGCGGGCGGATTGAAAATTTGTTTATTTTTTAGCTACGTCGAAAGCTGTTGCTAATTCAGCCGTAGATTCCACAATCACCTTTAGATTGTAGACACCGTAGATTCCACAATGACGATAGTCATTGTCGACCAGTCTTCGGACGACCGCGAGGTTCATTTTTCAGGTCGTAAAATGTTGGTTGGTTTGTAGTGTTAGCTCCACGTGAACGTTGTTGACGTCACGTGCCGCTTGTGCGACATTGCTGCCACGACGGTACTCATATTCCATAATTAACGTATTCAAATTTTTAACGTATCCATAATGACAAAAAAGATTGTAATGCGATGAAAATGTAATTCTAATCAATAGAATCCATGTTTCTAAAATAGCATTGATTTCAAGTTAGAATTCTTAGCCAAACAAAAATTATTTTGATTGGGAATCGCTAGTACTGCAGAACTGTCAAATTAGGTGACATTTTTCAACTTTTTATTGTTTATGGCATAAGCCGGTAAACGAGCAGACGGATCACCTGATGGTAAGCAATCGGCGTCGCCTATGGACACCTGGAACACCAGAGGCGTTATAAGTGCGTTACCGGCTTTTTGGGGATTAGGAGTTTGAGGATCGTTGGGGATTCAGGGATTGGAGAGATTGGGGAAGAGGAGGATAATTGAACCTCCGGTAACCTCACTTACACGACGAAACACAACGCAAGCGTTGCTTCACGTCGTTTTTCTGTGAGGCCGTGGTATCACTCCGGTCGAGCCGGCCCATTCGTGTCGAAGCATGGCTCCCACACTTGAAAAGGTAAAGATCTAATAAAGAAAACCAACGCTTCCATTAAAAAATAGCTTTATTTCAACATATTAGCACACGGGTACAATAAATCAAAAATAACTTTCCACCGTGAAATTACATCAGTTTTGAAAGCAAAATGTTGACAATTACCTTAATATAGGATTATCTAATGATACATTACACTGTCTTACAAACATAATGTTCTATGAACCAAAATGTGCTTAAATTCTGTAATCAAATAACTATATAAATGCTCAAAAACTTAGTTCAATAACTGAGATTAAATAAAATTCTAATAACATGAAAATACTGTCGTACATTATAATGACATCTATTTTAAATAATGTAATACTGAAATGCGAGATTCTACACTGAAATGGAATGTCATCGTTAGATGAATTCAAATTATATAACTTTGTCACGTTTTTGGTATCCGTTTAGGACGGGGTGGGACGAAACTCTTTTAGACATTCAATTTCTTACTATATAAACATACAGTAATTACATTTAAATTGTTGACAATTATCAAATAATTTAGGTAAATTCGAGAGAATTCAGACATGGGAAAATCACAAAATATTTGGTACACGATCCGACCCCAAAGCGTAAAGAAAACCCAGTAGTTTTCCAATAAAAAAATCAAGGAAACAATAAGAATTACCTAATCGTAATTTAGATAAAATATATTTTGTTTTTTGTGTGTAAATAATGTGCACTTTTATATATTTACACTTTGGGAAAATCGGATCAAAGATGTTGTACATCGTTATCGTTATTAAAGTTATCGTTATCGTTATTAAAATAAAATTTGTCTAGATAAACGACTTAACGATATAACGACAATCGTTGATCACACATTATCACAGAACTTAAACCAAAATAATTGAAACTAAACTGAAAGTGCAAGTGCTAAGTACATGCGTAACTAAATATTTACTATCCAGAGCAGAATATAAACATAAATAACGAATAAATAAACATTTATCTAATAAATAAAATTTATGACAAGCACCGAAAGCACATTTTTAAAATGTAATTTTAAATAAAATTTCGAATTCGAGGAACAATCACTATCTTTGTGTTATATATCGATACTTTAAAGACTATCTATATAATATATATAATATTATCTAGAATAAATAAACTTTTTTTTGTTTTATAAACAAATAATACTGAATTATGTTTAAAACACAATTTCATTGCGTAAAAATACTTACATAATACTTTAAAACTTTGGACTGTTATTGTTTCCTTAAGTACAGTGGTCAACAGAGTAATCTCACCCAATCTGTCAAATTTATTCATTGTATTTTCGACCTTACGTCAATATAATAAAATTGAAGATGTAATAGACACATTTGACAGATTGGTTGTCTTACTGGTTACCATACATAACTTAATCACATAATTATTTTTATACTACTAATGGTATTAGTAGGAACAAAGACTTACTAACCACCTGGTGATAAATGGTGATTAAATATGCCTTTAAAGTATCGAAAAACTAACACAAAGTACATATATATACCTAAATACATATATTTTACAACGCACAGGACAATACCTACATATTAAATTCCCTATAATAAAATGACCAATAGCAGTAAGATAATGAACACTGCTCATGAATAGTTTTGTGCCGTGCAAGTGTGAACGGTGATTATTGAGGGGGTTAATGGTGATTAGTGGCTAGTGGGTGGTTATTGGTGATTCACTGATCACCATTTGCGTGCGTAAGTTTTTGCTTCTTGTTTGGTGGCGAGTTGAAGAGGGCGCCACTGTGGAGTTCCTTCATCAGGAATGGTACCTGGAAACGATCAAATAGTTGTTAATATTTCAGGCACTTTCAGGCACATGTGTAATTAGCATAATTTCTGGTAGAGCTTTTCATTATATTTTTTTATTAAAAAAAACGTAGCCATTTTTCTAGTTATCCGTGTAATACCAGATCTTTCTTGCTAAGTGTAAAATACTGTTCATTGATACGAGAGCAGTCACATTTTTTGCTACACATGAATAAGAGCCCCGGTGTGTCTCGAAACTAGTCTAACTTTCCTAAATCTTAAACAAAAACGAATAAATGTGCAATGTAAATAATTAACCCTTTGAGTACGGTCATTATAGACACAATTAAAGAACAATAGGTTGCGGTCACCGGTATCCTCGCGGTGTTTGACAGTTTAATCCTTACTAATATTATAAATCTGAAAGTGAGTTTATTTGTTTGTTCCACCTTCACGCCGTAACTACTCAATCGATTGCTTTGAATTTCTGCAGACGTAAAGTTAGAAGTCCGGATTAAATAATAGGGTACTTCTTATCCCGGAAAAAATTGATATTCATGAGGAAAAACAAAAGTATTGGTATAGATGGCGCTGTGTGTATTGGTATGTGTCACATAGGCTACTTTTTATTATTTTGTGACGCGAGCGAAGCCGCGGGTAAAAGCTAGTATAAATATAATTTACCTTATGTTCAAGTCCGAGGTTATTGTTGGGCGGCAGGGCGAGGGCGGCCCTCAGTAAGTTGTCGATGTTGGCGCGTTGTTTGAACAGCGCGTTGACGACGGGCGCGCCGCTCGCCACCAGCGGCGCCTTCAGCAAGTACGCCAGCGGGGACAGTACTGCATGCAACCGGACGTATGCTGGGGGGAGGAGAATACTCGATATAAATATTGGTCTTCTTATGGTCTTATGCACTTAAAGAATGTTGTAGGTCATATCATATTATCAAGTTTTAATGTACTCTATCGTGTATAATCTACAAGGAAACAAAGTGTATTTTCGTTACAATATACAATCACTATTGCTGTAAGTAAATTGAGTAATCTAAGCAGATAAATAAAATTGGAGGAGTGTCTGTTTGTAATATTGAAAATATTGAAATACCGATACCAAAATAACTTTTTTTTAATTCTTTGTCTGTCTGTCTGTTTATTTGTACTGACAAATCTCTGAAATGACTGGACCGATTTTGACGGGACTTTTTCTGATGTATTAAGGAATACCGAATAACATAGGCTATTTTAAAAAAATGAAACAGACAAGTTATGTCCTAAAACTCATATTCTACGGACGAAATCGCGCGGCAGCAACAGCTAGTTTAAATAATTTTGACTAGTTTAAACAATTAATAAGGGATGAGTTTTTTGACGAACAGCAATGTAGATTGTGGGGTCCTTAGGTAAGCATTATATTATGCCTACGCTGGAAGGATTCGGTGCGGGGGCAGTCGCGTCACAACCATAGTATTGGTCAGACATTAAACAATGAGCTAACATTGAGTGTGTTCATTTATCACCATAGCAGTACCTAAAAGATGTATTTTAATAATATTAAAACTGAATTGCTTACAATTATCAGTCTCTCGGAATGCGAGCCGTGAGAACAGGTCAGCGAGTAGCACGAGGTCCAGTATGAGTGGGACGGCCAGCAGAGAGTCCTCGCACGTGTTGTGGACCACGATGGTGTTGGTGCCGTGCAGGAGGATCTCCGACGTGTACTCGTCCATGGCGCGCTTCGAGTCACCTGGGATTGGAAAGGTGGAGTTTAGTACAAGCCGGCACGAATCTTTAGCGCTGACCTTCACTTGCGCAGAAGTCAAATATCGGGCTTAATTAGTAGTATGAAATGAGGTTGGTTCGCCGCGCCATCGCGTCATAGACGTCACTCGTGATTCGTTTCCAGCGCTCGCTAAAACAACGAGGATTGGCTAGCTAATGTATGGAATGCACAAAGCGATCCCCACTATGACTCCGAGCGTTGAAGATTCGTGCCGGCACTTGTAGCAGCATATTTATCTTTACCGCCGTCTTATGTACGCAGATCGACTTGATAAAGGGAGCAGCTGTATGCAGGTCGCCTCCAACCGGCTAATCGGACAATATTAAAAAAAAACATTGCCCCACACTAGGATTTACTCCTGTGTCGTGGGTACGTTTACAAACATACAAGTTCACATACACATGACAGCCAGACCAGGAACAACAATTTATGGGTCACGCAAAGAGTTGGGAGGGAACGCTTAACCCATACGGGAATCGAACCCACGACAGTCAGTGGCCCAGCCACCGCACCATCCGTGCAGTCTTGTCGTCGTGCAGTCAATCATTGTTCAGCAGTTGACGTATTGTGGCTGACATAAGCGCATAGCTTCACTATTAGATTGACTGACAGAGGCCCTAGTACGAGTTTAATTTACGTTTAAAGTATGCGACGTCTGCGCTCTGATTTGCCGGCTCGAATGAACCAACCAATCTGAGGCCTTAGTACCAGTTTGTTTTACGTTAACAGTAATCGAAGCGAGAGCTGTAACGTCCACACAGGTCATGTTGACATGTTTGTAACATATAGTTACATTTCTTGACATTGTTTTTCATATATTGTTCTAACTTGACATTTGCTTTTTCCTTTACAATTGTTAGTGCTAGGACCGTGCGAGACTTTGCCTCACCATTTCTTTTCTAATTACCCATATTTTGACAGTTTGAGTATTTGTGCGACCCACGCAAATGTTCTTTAGGTTAGTATTGTTCGTCGAATCAGTCAGCCTCACCTGTTAATTGAGCCGACTGTAAACCGACATATGCGTACTGCCTTCAGAACGGGTCCGCTCAAACTGTTGTAGTTCTTTCCTCAAAAGGCCACTACAGAAAGAACTTGCACGGTTCTCACACATAATCTATTATACGTATTGTCTGGACTTTAAAAGAGACAGACCTCTGAGTTTGTTTCGGCATTTCTTCTCAGAGTAGTCAGTTAGGAAATGTCGACCTCATCGTTCGCTTGATAAAATTGACGTGTTTAATGACGTGTATTAAAGTGCTGCCTTGTAGCCTATTTGCAGAAATAAATTCACTTGTTTCACTTGTTTCACTTGTTTCACTTGTTTCACTTGAGACTGCATTCGGCGGTCTGATTGGTTGGTTCATTCGAGCCGGCCAATCAGAGCGCAGAACGCGTACTCGTTTCGAATACTTTAAACATAAATCAAACTCGTATTAAGGCCTCTGATAACTCTATTTTAACATTTCAAAAGTAAACATAAATGGATTAATTCAGATAAACAAAAGCTTTTTGTTATGAGTTCTATAGTTCCAATTAGATTAAATCTACAAATGAAATGCGACGTTAACTCACCGACATAGGGTACATATTTGATGACGACGACGTGGTCTGGCTTCTCACCGGGTTTGTACAGAACTTGGTTGGACTCCACCATGTCGTCAACCACGTTGCTCTTGGTTATCTGTGAAGTTAAAAATGTATTTATTTCAGACTAGCGACCCACCCCGGCTTCGCACGGGTTCAATATTCATGTTATCCTAATTAATCCTTATAAATTACTATTATAAATGGGAAAGTGAGTTTGTTTGTTGGTTTGTTCCGCTTTCACGCCGTAACTTCTAAACCGATTGCTTTGAATTTTTACAGATGTAAAGTTAGAAGGCCGGATTAAATAATAGGGTACTTTTTATCCCGGAAAATTTTGATATTCCCGAGGGAAAACAAAAGAATTTGTATAGATGGCGCTGTGTGTATAGGTGTATGTCACATAGGCTATTTTTATCCTTTTGTGACGCGAGCGAAGCCGCGGGTAAAAGCTAGTTCTACATATAAACGTTCCTTAAGTATCACTCTATCTATTAAAAAAACCACATCAAAATCCGTTGCGTAGTTGTAAAGATCTAAGCATACATAGGGACAGACAGACGGCAGATAGCGACTTTGTTTAATACTATGTAGTGATAACATATGCGTTGCGTCGTGGTAGCTCGAAGCTTAAGACGCCCGCATCTCATTCATGAGGGTTCGGGTAGAAACCTACCAACGGCAAGTACCAATGTGACTTTTTCCGAGTCATATGTACTTTCTAAGATTATCTAGACACCACTGACAAACGGTGAAGGAAAACATCGTGAGGAAACCTGGACTTATAATTTCTAATTATAAGTTTGAAATCGTCAATCCGCATTGACAAGAGTGGTGATTAATGCTAACCTTCTCCGTGTGAGAAGAGGGTTTGCTCAGCAGTGGGCATTTATACGTTGGTGTGTTTAGACTTTAGGCCAATCAACTTTTTTATAAATACCATTACATTTTTACCACGCCTTTTATCCCCGAAGGGGTAGGCAGAGGTGCACATTACGGCACTTAATGCCACTGTACCATGTAACACCTACTTTTCACTATTTATGTTATGAGTCCCATAAAATAAGGGGTGAGTCTATTGCCATATACCGGGCACAATTCCAGACTCCTTGCTACTACTGTGATTTTTTTTTAAAACCCAGTAATACTTTGCCCGACCCGAGGATCGAACCCGAGAGCCCTTGCCCGGCAGTCGCACTTGGCAAATAATAAGTAAAAAATATGAACTTGTTGCAATATACCGACCTCCTTTGAGCGGAACTGTTTAGGTGCGGAGAGGTTCTTGCCATCATTGTTACCCAGGTGGTTGTAGCTGACAATTGACACTGGTTTCAGTCCTGGAGACAGAAAATATAATATTACACTATGTTTTATTAATAAAACATGATAAATTGTCTACTGAATGATCAGTCACACAGACTAGAAAGCACAAAACTGGATAATTTGTTTGTTGATGTGTTTTAATCCGATTAAACTGTCAAACACCAAGCGGTCACCGGTGACCGCGACCTATTGTTCTTTAATTGTGTCTATAAAACCGGTACTCGACGAGTTAATTTCGGGACTAATAAAACGCAGTTTTAGAATTCACAGTAACGACTAACATTTTTATTTTCCATAGACAAGCATAGACAAAATATACTATAGACAAACAATAATAAAGCTGTCACATACTGTCGTCTGTGCTACTAATTAATAATAAAGAGCTACAAACTAATGAGCATTATTTTGTTATAATTAACTCGTCGAGTACCGTATTTATAGACACAATTAAAGAACAATAGGTCGCGGTCACCGGTGACCGCTTGGTGTTTGACAGTTTAACAGGGACAAGGTTTGTAATTGCTTTTGCTGCCTTTCTTTTTTACTTTGAACTTTCTTATCTTTTTTTCACCCCTTTTTTTTGAGGGATAAAATCATCCAATGACTTCTCCCTCCCATGTGAGGCGTTAAGTCTTCCGCGGCTCCATATCGTCATCAGCCCTGTTAGGCCCCATCCGTGGTGGTCTGATGGCTCCTTGAGGCGCGCGCGGAATGCTCGGCGCCGTACGCTCGGGCCTGGTTCTGGTCGGGCGGCGAGTCACCCGTGCTCGCCGTCCGCAGGCCCGTGGTCTTTTTTTCACCCCTAGGATGCTGTACCGGACTGGATAAAGGAGATTATAAAGATACCCACCAGCAGAGACGAGGAAGTCAACAAGCACAGACTTGAGTTTGGTCTGTCCGGACTTGAAGTCGTCTCCCGCGACGAACACTCCGCGCATCTCCGCGCGCTCCACCACGCCTCCTACCAACGTGTTCTGAGGCGACCCGTTTATGTATATGCACTGAAAATAATTGACAAATATTAGTTTTCACAATATTTACAAATATTTATACGTTCGTTTTTGGTTTAGATTTAGTTCTGAATGCACGGTTGGCGCGGTAACTGGATAACCGGCTGCCACGCAACATGTAGCGGGCTCCGTGCAGCTTATGGCGCCGACTTCTAACCTATCAGTGGTTAGCCTATTAGTTGTTGGTTTTTTGAAGTTGGTCTTTCTTTGTATTGTTGCTGAATAAGCTTGATGGGGCCAAATTTTTATGGTTGCTACTACATTAAACAAAGAAATATAGTCTATAATATCTAACAAACCTCTTGTTTCTAAATGTACTTATGTATGTATGTATGTATGTATGTATGTGGGTGTGTGTATGTATGTATATAATTCTATATTAAAAGTAAATAAATTTGTTTTTTAATGTTTTCTCTTTTACATTATATAAATAAGCACCTCAGTACGCCAAGCTATAACTACCTCATTTAATATCCTACTATAGTATTCTATCCACCCAAAGGTTGCCTGGTAGATATCGCTTTTAGCGATAAGGCCGCCTTTGTACCCTATTTTCTTTATTTGTTCCTGGATAAACTGTCTCAAATTGGTGTACAATAAAGATTATTTATTATTATTATTATTAAACCTCACTCTTATTCATCGTGAACAGAATCACGAATATTACTACATGCATACACTCACATTCTCATCAATAGCAGCGAGTGCGAATATGGTGGAGGGAGAGATCTCAGAGTTGTTGTCGCGAAGGGCGCGCTCGATGTTCTCGGAGGTGTCGTGCACTCCCTCCCGCACCTCACAGAAACTGAAACCAGGGATAATTAATTATTTCATATGTATAACTATTTCATAGATTGTTTACAACTTCCGAGAAAGGGTTAAGAGTCAGGTGGCGAGAACAAACGGTATTGCGAATGTAATTAATTAATTAATTAATAATAATAAATAATTAATTAATGATATTAATAATTAATGTTAACAATTACTTATACTAATATTATTAATTAATGTAATAAAATAATATTAATTATTTAATTATTTAATATTAATTATATTATTATAATAAAATGAATGTAATTAATTAAATGAACTTGACCGACTTTTAAATAACTGCATTCAATTCGTGTTCAATCTGCGTAAATATGATCATGTGTCTGCACATCGGTTGCAATTAATCTGTCAAACACCGAGCGGTCACCGGTGACCGCGACCTATTGTTCTTTAATTGTGTCTATAAAACCGGTACTCGACGAGTTAAAGTGGTTGCCCATACGCCAACGCAGGGAGCAAAGGGCGCTAACCACTCTATTCTCCTTTTTATAGTCGCCTTCTTCCCCGAATTATCTATCCCCTTACTTCCAATACATATGCGCAAACCACAATAAAAATCTTCGCTCTTCTCATAATCGGCTTCTCCAATGTCCTACTCACCGTACTGACTTCCTTCATTCTTCCTTTTTCGTACAAGCTATTTTTTTGTGGAATGCGCTCCCCCAGGATATCAACATGGTAAAAAGTCGTTTAACTTTCAAGCGGAAGGTTCGTGAGCTTCTCCTGACGAGGTTGGCTGCTTCATCACACTGACTATACCTTATGTATTTTATGTATATATGTATGTATGTATATATATATGCATATTATAGTTATATAGTATGTATTCTTCAATATATATTTAGTTAACATAACATAACATCACGCCTTTTATCCCCGAAGGGGTTGGCAGAGGTGCGCATTATGCCATTGTACAATGTAACACCCACTTTTCACTATTTATGTTATGAGTCCCATTTAATAGGGGGTGAACCTATTGCCATATACCGGGCACAATTCCAGACTCCGTGCTACTATTGAGATTTTTTTTAAAAACCCAGTAAATCTTTGGTCGACCCGGGAATCGAACCCGAGACCCCTTGCCCGGCAGTCGCACTTGCGTACACTCGGGCAACGAGGCAGTTATATTTAGTTATGTTGTAGTATATGTATATATTGTGTATATTGCCGAATTATACTTATATGTGTTCTTTCAAACAGTTAACTCGTCGAGTACCGGTTTTATAGACACAATTAAAGAACAATGGGTCGCGGTCACCGGTGACCGCTTGGTGTTTGACAGATTAAATTCAAAGTATGTTCTTGCATCCGCTGATTACTTTCTCTGCATCACCCAAGGGTCAGGCTGGTAGAAAATGCCTGCGGCATTAAGTCCACCCATGTGCTTGTTTGTGTGCATAAAACTTTTTTAAATAAATAAAAAAATAAATAACTATAACATTTACCCCACAATGAATTGAGTCATGAAAAGAGCTTTCTAAAGAAAGCTTCGTTGGTCGGCTTCGGTGGGTACATTCTACCCGTCTCATTCTTTTGAAAGTTTGTGCCGTTAAGTCACTTGTACAGACGATTCGATAATGAAGGTATCCGATAAATGTAGCTTGATTCACGTAACATTTTTGATTTATTGGAGGAAAAGCAAAAGGCATAATGCTCATAATGATGGCACTCAACGCAAGCGTTGTTTCACGTCTGTGTTATCTGAGATCGTGGTATCACTCCAATGGCGGTCCAATCGTGCCGAAACCGTTGGAGAGCCATTCTCCAACGAGCAACAAAACATTTACCCGGCTAATTCGTGGCTCTCCCACGGGTTTTTTTAGTCATAACCTGCGTTAAAACTTTTAGGGAACCGAGGGTAAAGTTCCCTAAGATCGGAAAAGGTGGATCCTCCGACCACGCGAGGTGACCGTGCCTGGCAGGCTTTCTGCCCGACAGTTGTTCGTTGGAATTTTCTATCAGTGTTAATTTGCATGTAAACTTTACTTGTGCGATGTAGGATTTTTTACGACGTGACCCGTTGATTTGATTCCATCTATAGTCCATGTGCGCGAGCTATCATTTTGAAGTATGCCATGTGTCGCCACAAACTCACCGTTCAGTGTTAGCAGTCCACAAAACAATGATCTTGTCCAGCTTGTTCTTGTCGCGGAAGTCCTTGATGTCAGCGCGTACTTGCAGGTACTGCTCGTACTTGGTGCCACGAATCAGGTTGGTGGCGCGGTCAGCCTGCAAAAGAAGAGGATTCGGTTAGGAAGAACTTGGGAGGGACTACGCAGATTCTTAAAAGCCGCAGTTAGGAAATAAGAACTTGGTACGCATTTATTTTCTATTAATCGCAACAATCTCTTGTTATAATGATCACTCTCATATTATAAACGTGAAAGTTTCTTTGTTTTTTTTATTGCATTAGCCGGCAAACGAGCAGACGGATCACCTGATGGCAAGCAATCGGCGTGTCACCCATGGACACCTAGAACACCAGAGGCGTTACAAGTGCGTCACTGGCCTTTTGGGGATTAGGAGTTTGAGGATGGTTGGGGATTCGGGGATTGGGGAGACACGATGAAACACAACGCAAGCGTTGTTTCACGTCGGTCTTCTGTGAGGCCGTGGTATCACTCCAGTCAAGCCGGCCCATTCTTACCAAAGCATGGCTCTCCCACACTTAAAATGTTTGGATTTCTGTCCGTCAATCACGCTAAAACTACTAAACGGATTTTGATTTAATACAAGAGACAGAGTATGACCTGCCTAAGGCGGAGAATGTTTTTTATTCCGATTAAATGCTCCCATGGGAAAAAACAGGAATCATATTGTACGCGTACAAAGTGGCGGGCAACAGCTAGTTAAAAATAAATGGTTGTTCAAAAGAAGTAAACGGTTGGCGGATTTGCTGAGTGATCAACTACAAGTGTTTGATTCCTACACGGAACACTATTAATAAGCTACATTACAGCACCAAAGTCAAAGTCAAAGCATTTATTTCAATTAAACCATAGTTTGGTACTTTTGAAACGTCAACAAATACAAAATAAATAATAGTGTGTCAGTCAGTCCGTCAGTGAAGCTAGGTGAAGCTAGGTGCTCATTCCAAAATGTAGATTCGAATGGAGAAGAACGAGCAAGAAACTCCATTCGTTTTCACACCTGTTTAGTAGAATCGTTATCCGTCGTTCAGTTTCGCACTTCAGTGATCATGAAATAACATCGTTAGTGTAAGGATTGTATCGATTGATGATAAAATTTATTCGATACTAGCTTTTACCTGCGGCTTCGCACGCATCACAAAAAGATAAAAAGCCTATGTGACATATGCTAATACACACAGCGCCATCTATACCAATAATTTCGTTTTCCCTCGAGTGTACCAATTTTTTCCGGGATAAAAAGTACCCTATTATTTAATCCAGACTTCTAACTTCGAACTCGGTTCAGTAGTTACGGCGTTAAAGCGGAACAAACAAACAAACTCATTTTCTGATTTATAATATTAGTAAGGATGATTGCCAAAAACCAGAATCTTAGTAGACTTCCTGATATCTAGGTTTCAGCCAGGCATTTAGCGTATGTACTAATTAAATGAATAATCTGCAATTAGGATTGATTAATCGTCTCGCCGCGACTATTTTCTTATTCCCGTGCCAACAAGCATAGGTAAGGGTTGTCTGAAACGCTTTAAGACCACCATTTTTATTCATTTTGTTAATATGAACCCCTATCGTGTTCTGAAACCAAGTGAGCGACCTTCTCAAACAGTTACGAAGTAATATCTAATTAATTTGGTTTTTAACTTAGAAAATAATGTCCTAAGATACTAAAGTCACTTCGGGCATAAGAGCAAAAAGACACATTATCTAAACCAATAGGGATGATGACAGGGTATGAAAATTAAAAATCTAATTAATCCGTCAGTTAGGTAATGAAAAAATATTAGACACGTATTTTTTTATTTGGTCGTATAAGAAAACAATTCTTAGATAAAACGATCAAAATTTAGGAGTGGGAGGTAGCTACCTCATTTTAGAGTATAAATCGTACTCAAAAGTGACGTCATGCGATATTTCAAATCAATATAAATCTCCGAAACTATTCGTTTCCGTAAGAAAATAAAAAATACGAGTCTATTATTTTCTCATTATTATGTTTTTAAATAATCTACCAGACAGACATTAAAATAAAAATTAGTCATCTACCACCCTTATTGCAACCGATTCTTACTAGCGGATAAACGCAAATAAATACAAATAAAGTTTATTTCCTGTTACCTACGATAAATTTACTATACGAATAGGAAATAATATTCCTCATAAATGTACCTACCTCATATTGATAAGGGACCGAACCCACTAAAATGACACTGAAATAAAATCTAAGATACAAAATCAAGCTTCATCTTTACAATATTAATTTAGACTTCAGGCCAATCTACTTTTTTATAAATACCATTACATTACATAACATCACGCCTTTTATCCCCGAAGGGGTTTTTTTTTTATGGGGGGAAAATCATCGAATGACTGCTCCCGCCTGGGTGAGGCGGAAGGGAGTGTCAGACTCTTACTGACTAAAAACCACCCCGTTCCTTCTCCTGCACGTCGAGCCGGAGCCCCGGTTACCCGTTATGTTCTCCGCAACTCCGAATCGGCATCGGCCCTATTGGGCCCCATCTGTGGTGGTCTGATGGCTCTTTGAGGCGCGCGCGGAACGCGACGCGCCGTACGCTCGGGTCCGTTTCTGGTCGGACGGGGAGCCACCCATGCTCGCCGTCCGCAGGCCCGCGCATCCCCGAAGGGGTAGGCAGAGGTGCACATTACGGCACTTAATGCCACTGTACAATATAACACCCACTTTTCACTATTATTTATGTTATAAGTCCCATGTAATAGGGGGTGAGCCTATTGCCATATACCGAGCACAATTCCAGAATCCGTGCTACCACCGAGAATTTTTTTAAAAACCCAGTAGTACTTTGCCCGACCCGGGAATCGAACCCGAGACCCCTTGCCCGGCAGTCGCACTTGCGACCACTCAGCCAACGAGGTAGTATATATATATAGGCAGTATAAATACCAATTTAAGGAATTAAATTACCTACATCGCCAAGGAATGTATTACTTTGTATGAACAATTTCTATTAACAGCTTATACATCTTTCATCAGAACAATATTTCTGTATCGCTATTTAATGTACTTATTGTCAAATCACTATCAGTATTCTCAGACTTACTATCTATAGAATTCCTATTATGACAGCATAGCAACATTAACGGTTTTTGGCAATACTTCGCGGGAGAGTTGCCAATTTCTGTGCCATATTTGTAGATATAATAGGACATTATATTATGTGCATTATTTATTGAAAGTAAAATAGAATTTATTGGATGATAATTATTGAACAACACAATTTGGTATTGCAAGGATCATCCCATAGGTTAAAATGCTGCAGGCTCATTTGACCTTTATGCAGCTGCCTGAAGCTGTAAATACAAGGAACTTTTAGTTCTAAAATGTATACAACTGTACATCAACATACACACGCCTTTTTTGCATGGGAGAAGGCATTAACATGTACAAAATACGTCACATTTCAAGACAAAACATTACATTCAAACCGCATCTAGAATATTCTCTATTTTGAATCTAGAACACAATTCTAAGCGGGTTATTTTTCAAATATGGAAGAATCGAAGTGTCAACTGACACTGTTTTATAAACAGGCCGGACGAAGGCAATGGAAAATTTTATTATTCCTCTGTGGACCCATTCATAGACTATCGGTCTTTGTAAACATACTGTCTGGTTATGATCAACAGGCGTCCACGTGTTTTGGAAAAAAAAAGATTTCCTATACAATGGTGAGGAGGACACGTGTTACGAGGGATACACGTGGCTTGGAACACTAGAATTAGTAATCTAACTCCATTATATGTAATCTATCAACAAGTCTATATTGTTTATAAATTTTGAATAAGCTTGTTTAAGTTCCCATTGTGGGACTTCTATTACCCAAGACGCAATGAGTCCATATAAACTCATATGTTCCGACAAAATCTCATAGATATTTATTTCAATTTAGCTTTAATCGAACAAACGTTTATTATTTTTCAAAAATTTTTTCCTCCATATTAGTCCAGCGGTTCTAAGTTTGCGGCCGCGGAGGACTTAACATGTTTCCGGGGCTCCAGTTGGAAGTGCAGGAGTAGGAACGGGTTGGTTTTTAATCAGTAAGAGTCTGACACTCTTACTTGCCTCACCCGGGCAAAAGAAGTCATTGGACGATATTCCCCTCAAAAAAAAGCGTTCTAAGTTTATGCTTAATAATAAAATCAGCACTTCTCTTTCATTATCAAACATAAATTCAAATTGAATCATTTATAAACAGTGTGGACTTTTAGGGTGAGCCTATTGCCATATACCGGGTACATTTCCAGACTCCGTGCTATTACTGACATTTTTTTTAAAACCCAGTAATACTTTGCCCGACCCGGGAATAACTCGAGACCCTTGTTCGGCAGTCGCACTTGCGACCACTCGGCCAACGAGGCAGTCAGTCAGTATAAGTGTAGTGTGTGCCTAGCCTAATAGTAGGTACCTATGTGTATAGATCATGACCGGACTAACATACAATGTGTATTTATTCTGATAACAACCATGAAGTACTGAATGTCCCTTTATATGAATCAAGCGTTTCTATATGTCGATAACATTTTCCTCAGAATGAATGAAAACTTCAGCTACAAAACTAAAACAAGAGAATTTAAACTTTATAGTTTTGTAGTAAAGTTGAAATTCCTCTGAACGAATGTAACGGTTAGGATAACTGCATATATAGTAATGTCACATTAGGTATAGGTACATGATAATGGCAAACTCACGCTTAACGATATAACTTCCATAGTTACATTGATACTGATTATGGGAATCGATAAAGTAATGCGTAATATACGTGGTAGATGTCCAATAACTAAGTGTGACATGCTTCGGCACGAATGGGCCGGCTCAACCGGAGTGATACCACAGAAGACCGACGTGAAACAACGCTAGCGTTGTGTTTCGTGATGAGAGTGAGGTTACCGGAGGCACAATAAGTACTAAGGAGTAAAATAAAAGTAAAAGTAAACAAAAAAGTTATGTCCAAAAATCATATTCTACACGGACGAAGTCCCGGGCAACAGCTAGTATGATAATAGACTTAAGTTTGGCACAGATACACAACATGGAACAAC